TTACTCTCCTAAAATCTTGTTTTGAGATTTTGTACCATTGTTTTTATTATTTTTTCCTTTAAAATAAAATAACTGTTGTCAAAAAAAAAAAAAATCCGCAACACTCAGCCCAGGGTCAGGGCATGGAGGAAGCACCCTTCAGCCCTGTCAGGGGCAACATCCAGGTCCACCCCACTGTTCTCGCTCACAGCACCCCCAAAACAGTCTTCACCCACTGCAGAAGCAGCCTGATTTCCTGTCCCAAGTACCCTGGATTCCAGGAGGTCGTGGCTGAACCTCAGCCACGTTCGACCTGAGGCCCGCAACCTCTCACGGGCCTCTGCCAGGCCTGCCCAGCCCAGCCCTACACCCAGCAGTGCACCCCGCTCCATCCTCCCCTGCACTGTGCGGCGAGCCTGGAGTCTCCCCAGCTGGTCATCCCCAAGGTCAGGGCCCATGGGGGTGAGTGAATCTCAGGCTGCTGGGCAGGTCGGGTGACAGTGAGCTCTGGCTCAGCCCTTAATCTCCCTGCAGTCTCCTGGCCTTGCGCTCTACTCAGGGCAGAGGTCACAGGTGTCTGAGGAAGCTGCACATGGACCCGCAGCAGTGCTAACTGACAAGGGAATGGGTGTTAGAACTGCGAAGTTCACACAGGACACCGTCCCAACACAGGGACACAAATTCCATGACACACACTACCATAAAGTCATGCCAGAACCCTCAGAAAACTTTCAACTCAGAAAATCAAGCAACAGAGGGAACTGTCACCGACTGTCACCCACACCTAGCCCTGAAATGCTGGTCTCGCCTTCTCGCTTCTGCTGAGAGAAGGACTCTCAGTCACAAACGATCCCATCTTGGGGGCCAGGGAGATACCTTGGCACAGATGCAAGGACCCAGGGTTCAATCCTCAGTACCACATGCCGTGCCGGCCCCACACCGAACTGGCCACCAAAACTGGGCACGGTGGTGTACACCTGTAGTCCCACAGCTGGGGAGGATAAGACAGGAGGAAAGTCTGAGCTGCGTAGCCAGACCCCATACCAAATAAATAAATAGGTTTTTTTTTTCATCCCATTTTCACTTCTTGTCGCACCCCACTCCACCCACTGCCTGTCAGCCCCTGCTGGCCCCCCACTTTACAGGTTCTGCTGGCAGGCACATCAGGCTCAGGCCTGCATGCTGGCCTTGCCCCCTCCAGCTCACAGGCCCATCGCCCAGCCACGGCCCCACCGCAGGCAGGCCAGGGCAGACTCTGCCCTCTGCCAGCATCCCCCGTACTCAGCAACTGGGATCTTTTTAAAAAATCAATCAAGCCAGGTATGTTGGGACATACCAGGAACCCCAGAACTCCAGGAGGCTGAGGCAGGAGGATTCGGAACTCAGCCTGGCAAGTTAGCAACTTAACAGGACTCTATGTCAACCTGAAAACATTTTACAAAAAGCTAGGTTCCGTAGTTTAGTGTGAAGGCCCTGGGTGCAAACCAGGCACCACAAAAACAAAGAAAAAGTCAGTCAACTCCTGTCACTGTCCTGCTCAGAATCCTCCCCAGCCTCCAATCACTTTCAGGCTACACTGTCACCTCCTCATCGCAGCCTGCAGGCTTGGAGAGACATCCCTGCTGTCTGGAGCCTCCCTGGGGACACCTGAGCTGACGCGCTGTCCCCTCCCATCTCTAGCTGACACATCTTCCACCCCTGCTCAGCTGCACCAGACTTGGCTGCTGGGCAAGCCACTCAGCACATGCCTAGGCCCCATCTACCCCACCCGGCCTGGGGTCCGGCTCCTCGCGGCACCCAGGCTGTCTGCTGGCCACCTAGGAAAGTGAACCAGCACTAGCTTTTGGAGTAGGCACGCAGCACTCATCCTGGGGGAGGCTGCGTCTGTAGGTTTACAGAGTAGCCCTGGCTGCCACTGCCAGGGAGGGGGAGGGCGGGGCTCCCACTAGGCTCTACCACAACTGAGGAGGGGTTTGGGCTTTTGGCTTTTTATCCAATCATTTTTACAACTGAACAATGTGTGATCCACAAGCATTTTTCTAAAAAAGATTTATTTACTTTCTTTTGAAAAAAAAAAAAAGCCCAGATTACAGAAGCTTTCCTTAAAATGTATTTCTGACAGTTGCAGCCATTATGAAAAGAAATACCACTAATGTTCACTCATGTTATTATTTTTGAAACCCAAGTATGATCAGGCAATGACGTCATGCTTCTAAAATGAACGCAAAGGCAACGGCTCTGCGCAGCAGCAGCTAGCGCCTCCACTGACGCCGCCTTCCCTAACTTCGGTGGTGCGCTCGCTCGCTCGGTGAGGCAAGAGCGCAGGACAGCTGTTCCCCAAGAACTCGCTGAGCCGGCCCCACACAGTCCACTTGTCATTCCGAGCTGACATACATCACTGCAAAGTGAGGGACGCTTTTTGCTACAGGTGACAAGGGGACCTAGGGCAGCAACAACAGGGAGGAGCCGGCCTGCGACCACACAAAGCGAGCGGCACGTGCATCGCCCACCTGTGCCAGGGAGCACGGGAAGCGGACTGCACCTGCGGACAGGCACAGGGTCAGCCTGGACTTACCTGCCCGCCTCACTTTCTGTGAAGGGCCAAGGTGCACTTCTAATCTAAGAGAGGCAAACTTTCTTCTTGTTCTTTTCTAGTTTCACACGGGGTTACGTAAAGGAGGCTCAGAGGACAAGACGGGAAGCAGCCGAGGAGGGGCGGGCAGAGTGAGGAGCAGGAGAATGGAGAACGGGGCGAGAAAGCGGTAGGGGAGAGGGCAGAGGGGGCGAACTGACAGCGCGAAGGGAACAAAGAGAAGCGGGCAGGGCAGAGAGAGCAAGTGGGAAGGCGCCGGGAGAGACACCACGACGGGGCGAGAGACCGAACAAAGCAGAGAAAGAGAAGGAAGAGGAGAGAGTCCGTGGGAAAAGCGGCGGCGCGTCTCACGGACGCGCCCTGGCCGCGCACCGCCCGATGCCATATGTGGGAAGGAGCGGGGCTGGCGCCCGCCTGGGAACGTCTGCGCGGACTCGAGGGCCCCAAGAATAGCGCGGCTGGGCCCGAGCGAGCGGGCCGGCGCTCATGTGACCGCCCTTCCTCCCGCACCCGGACGGCGCAGGCTGCGCTTCCTCCGGCGCCCGCCCGCGGCCACTGCCCGCCGGCCAGGACCCAGACAGCAGCGCCTAACGCGCGGGGCAGGGGCGCGTCCGCCGTCCGCCCGTCCGCCCGTCCGTCCGTCCGTCCGTCCGCAGGAACTGAGCAACAGCCCCCGGCGGGACGCTGGCCAGGACGCTCGCTTCGCTGCCTGGGGGTGGGACGAGGAAGTCCCGGAAACAGACTTAGTGGGGCGGTTAGGAAGAGAAATCTCAAACCTCTGCCTACCAAAGAGGCGCGGCTCCCAACAGAAAGCCTGCCGGACACAAAGCCAGCAGGTCCCCGGGACCTGCCGCCAGGGCCGCCCTGGACCCCGCTCTGGGGACAGGAGTCTGGCAGGGAGCCGGTCCCGCCTGAAGAGCGTCGCTAGGAGGAACTACCCACAGGAGAGCAGGGGCGGGCGGGCGGCAGACAAAGACCGGGGCTCGGAGGCCAGGAAGTTTTAACCCTCTCGGGCACAAGTTTCTGAAAGGCATTCCACAGTCCCAGTCCACTTGGAGAGGCCTCTAGCATTTTAAGAAGCGATCTCAGCGCAGGAGGGGAAGGGGCAAGGAAACCCCCGCTGGTCTCCATGGCAATGGGAGCAGAGGCTGGAACTCCGGGATCCCTGTTCTGGGCCAGGAGGAGCCAAGCGAGGCGCAACGCGGGCCGATTCGGCAGGAAGAGGCACCCCTCCCGGCTGCCTCCAGAGGCCTAAGCCGGGAGCGCGCCCTCCCGAGGGCAACTGGGTGACTACCTCAGCAGCGATCACAGGGTCAGTAAACGCGGGGATCCTCAGCTTTCCCTAGTGCTGAACAGGGGTACACACAAAAGGCCGTTGTGGTCCTTGGTGACACCATAAATAAGTCATGTAGCTTGCCAAGTGCACGTGTGAACTTCAGGGCCACACTCACCACAAGCAAATATACAAAAGACACAAAAATTCAAAGCCAAGGATTACAGTATTTTAAAGGCTATTGTATCTTTTGTGCATTATTCTATTTTGTTGGAATGCTTGATATACTGAGGAGAACCCTGCAAGACACCGAATCCACGCTGGCTTCTGTCACCCTCCCAACCTGGCCCCATCCCCAGGCCACACCGCCCTCCTGGCCTCCCTGGACAGCCCTCCTAGTGAGACCAGGATATATCAGAGGCACCAACCATCCATCTGCCCATCCTGTCTGTGTAGGCATTTGCACTGGCTTGGTTTTGTTTTGACTTGATTGGAGTTTTTAAAGTACTGCCTTAGAACAGGACTTCTCTGGGCTCCATGGCATAGTGGGTCAGCATGCACAGGCCCGGGGTTGAGCCTCAGTGCCACACACACCTTCAAAAATTACTTCTCGGCCGGCGAGACAGCTCAGTAGTCTAAAGTGCTTGCTAAGGCAAGCTTAGGCAAGTGCAGGGAACGCAGTTCAATCCCCAGCACCACAAGCTGTCCCAGCCCTGTCCCCAGGATGGGCTGAGCTGGCCACAAAAAAAAAAAAAAAAAAAAAATTACTTCTCAAGGCTTCAGGGTTTCTCTACCAGTCCAAGTATTCAAATACACGATGACCAAAGACTAAACATTTTTTCATTAACTTTTATAAGACAATAGAACAGGAAATATGAAAATGACAATTTTATCAAATTTACTCAATACAAGAATCAACAGGTTGGGGCTGGAGAGATGGCTCAGTGGTCTAAAGCACCTACTTAGAACAAGCTTAGCAAAGCACAGGGACCGCGGTTCAATCCCCCAGTACCACATGCCAGCCAGCCCCAACCCCTGGTGGGCTGAGCTGGCCACACACACACACACACACACACACACATAAATAAATAAAAATTTATTTTAAAAAATTTTAAAAAAAGAATCAACAGGTTGAAATGCCACCTGCAGAGCAACATTCTAAACAGTCAGAAGGAAAAGAAACACATTGCCCGAGTAAGGCTCCAGGTGAGTGGTACGGTGGTTCGGTTTCGCAGCCCAGGCCAGGGTGTCAGGGGCTTCACCCTGGTCCAGGCCCTGCCCACAGGGCCAACAATAATCCCTGGACAAACCATGGACAGAAAGGTCAAAACGCAGCTTCATTAACTACTCTGAAAATGGACCACAGCTCACAGTGCCAAGAGTGCCCCAGAACCCTCACCTCGAGTGTGGCCATGCCGGCATCACTACTTAGCGACGCAGCCACAAATATCTGCATACCAACTCTGCATAAACCAACCTTAGGGGATACTGTATCCTGTACCTCACTCAGACTCACCCTTGTGGCCCCAAGAGCCCACTGCCACCCTAAGAGCACTCTCTGCCCTGCCAGACTCCTGGCCTTGTCCCCTTGTGGCCCTGGCTTCATGATGCTTGACATCTCCCGTCTACACAGCAAGATCCCCAGCTCTTACCTCAAGCTCAGATCTCTGCCCTGAGGGTTGCCTGAATTCTACAGGCAAACTGCTCTACTTGGAAGCCTCCTGAGCACAATGCATAGGAAACGGAACTCTCCAGGTCCTCGCCTGGGCCACTGTCTCCTCCTCGGACAACTCCGGCTTGCCCTGGACTCTGCCCAACCTGTGCCTTCCCACTACTTCCTTATGGCACAAGACCAAGCGGACAGCCTCCGTATGCTTACTTGTGCCCAAGGCTCCTGTCCACACCTCACTCCCTATGCCACAGGAGGTCCCCGCCCTCACCTGACAGCCACAGCTCCATAGCAGGTGCCTGGGAAACTGTCACCAAGGCGAAGCCAGCCACCTCTCCCACAGCCACAGGCCTTCTCTGTGGAAATCCACTGGCTTCTCCCCTTCCTGCCTGGTGACCAAATGTGGAAGCAACTTCCCTGAGTTCAGGAGCAAAGCTCTCAACCTGGCTCCTGGGATCACTCGCTGCCATGCTGCCTCTGCCACACAGGACTCTGGGAAGGACAGAGCCTGGCTGCAAGCCGGCCAACCCCAGGAGCAGCTAGTTTTCCATCTAGCTCCTCAATGAGCATCATTTCTCTCAAACGTCAAGAGACCTTTAGCACAGCTAAAAACTTCCCAGGTACCGTTCAATCGGTAAACCATTCCTCTTATACTAAAGTAATCTCTTTTCAGTTGGTACAAGCTACTTTCCAACCTCCTAAGACAGTGTAAACACATCTACTGCACCAGTCAATGATTTAGTCTATTTTCCAACTCACTTGCTTTTCATTCCTTTTATCCACTCTTGTAATAATAAAAACATTCTACTTGTTTCCTCAGATGGAAAGCTGCTTTCTCAAATATGTAACAACAAACTACATTTTTTCCACAAGAGGCCTTTGGAATGTCTTATATTTGTGTCTATCAAATCCTGGGGGATTTTCCTAGTGCCTTGGGACCACTGCAAGGTCAACTCTTTGCTCAAAGCCAAAGCAGGGAAGGGGAAGGTGGTTGTCAGATGAGCAAAAGCCACACCCCGCAGCAATACCTGAGGCCAGAGGGGCTCTTCCTGTTCCTGCCAGCCCGGCCACGTGTCCCCCAGGGGCCGTGTGTCCCCCAGGGTGTGGCAGGGATGCCCTGCAGTGATCTGTGGAGAACTGATCAGGAACTCAGTAACCACACCCACAGTGATGCTGCGCCAAAGGCTTCCTTGGGCCCACAGAGCTCCCACGCAGGCAGCCGTCAAGTAACTACCTAAGTTTTCACCACAGCAGTGACACAGAAACGTGAGTTCTTGGGCTGGGGCTGAGCACGCGTGCAGCCCTGGGTGCCATCTCAAGAGGTAATAAAAAAAGAAACACATTTTTTGCAGTTTCGACATTACTAAGCACCCATCTTTAAGAGGAAGAAAGGCCAAACACAGGTTGTACGTTGCATTTTATTCAAATTGTGGAATCTGGAGTCATCTGTTGTCCAAGTAACAAATGTACAGAAAACAGAACTGTCGGATTCGCAAAATGGTTGCATCTTGTTTAAAACACACCCCAGATGCCAGGCTGAGCCGTCGAGCCCACCCCTGGGTGGCATGCCTTCCTCCCGCTGTGCAGCCAGGACACCGGTGATCTCCAGCAGCTACACTGGCTGGGATCTCAGACAGAGTACCAAGACTCACACCCATCGGGCCCACCTCCCTTTCCACCGCCACATACACTGAGTCCACAATCACAGACTTCGATTTTTGCTTTGCTTGTCATCTTTTAATCCCCTGGCACAAAGATTGCCAATCCTAACTCTGCCTTGACAAGTGTCCGCTTGTCCTTTTAGTTTAAGTGAAACTCCAACTTCCTTCCCAGGATTCAACTGCGCGGTGCAGGAGGAGCCTTTCTCGAGACCCCTCATGTGACAGAACAGGATCCTTGCTGCTCTAACCCTGCTGCCACACGTCTGATATCTCAGACCCCAGCCAGCACCCTGACTCACACCAAGAGGCTAGCTGAACGTCCTGTGACCCCCATGTTCTAGCCACACACAGGCACAGCAGTGTGCACGTGCTCAGCACGTGCCACACCCTAGGTGCAAGGACCAGCACCCAAAGCAACAAAACACAACAAAAAACCACAAAAAGCAAACAGTGGTGCACTCAGCAGCCTTTCTTTATCCACTCACTTTCTTCATTCTACTCGCTCCAATTTTCATCAAAGTTTAAAGAGCAAGGGAAGACCAAAAGCACACAGCCCTGGGAGCCCAGCGGCTCTGGACCAGGGAAATGCAAAGCCCGCCCAGCGGTTGGGTTTCA